TTACTTATTTAATTCCACTTAAGTCACGAGTCCTTCAAGAAAATGCCTGATTTGGAAATTTTTCCTGGCTTAGAATTTTTACTAAAATTGTAACATTCAGCATTTAGCTAAAGTGCACCTCTAGTTTTCAGAAAACAAAGAAATAAAAAAAAAATGCAAACTGATAGCAATTTTCCCATGCTTTCCATGTTTCCCAGTAGTGTATACATTTTGTTTGTTTGAGGAGAGAGAGAAAGGCCATAACGGAGACTAACATAAGACAAAAAGCAGACCTCAAAGCCAGGCTCCTGAGCACCCAGGGCAACCTGAGCTAACGGCGTGACCTCTCTGGGCCTTAGCTTCATGGTCTGCAAAAGGGAGGTGATAAAAGAGCCAAACCACACAAAGTAGTTCTAAGAAATAAATGAGGCTAGTCCTGGCCAGGTGGCTCAGTTGGTTGGAGCATTATCCTGTACACCAGAAAGGCTGCTGGTTCAATTCCCGGTCAGGACATATACCTGGTTTCGGGTTCAATCCCCAGTCGGGGAGCATATGGGAGGCAACTGATATCTTTCTCTCTCTCTCTCTCTCTCTCTCTGGAAAATAAAAAAAGAGGCTAGGCCCAGAAACATGATATTTGGTTCCCAGGAAGCCAGTAGAAAGCCCTGCTACTAATACAAGCAGGAGCCTCCAGGAAGGGCTGTCCATTAGCAACCTGGAAACCTTTCAGAAAACACTTCACAAGCAAGTTTTCCACAGGAACACTGCCCTGGTTTCTTAGCAGACTGCAGAAAGGGAGACTCTCAAAGCTCAGTTGCCCCTAAATTAAATAAGTGTACATGACAGCAACAGCGAGAAAGGCAGCAGGGAAGGGTGGCTGAGTCACAGACCTGGCTCTGGCCCCTGTTCTGCCACCAACTAGCCATCAACTAGCCACTGGATGGGGGACAAATAACTTATGTCTGTCCCCTCATCTGAAAGAGGAAGAGGCTGAGAAAACTGTCCTTCAAATCCTGTTCTAGTTTTAAGGGTTATGCCAGACTCTACAGTTTCCATTCCTGCCCTGTAACATGGTGACCTACAATGGATATGCCAACTTCAATGACCACGGCTGCGTCGGGAAATTAAGCATCTTCGATAACTCCAAAGCCGAATAATGGCTTTTACGATGGTCAGAATGGTCTCGTCTTTGCTACAAACAGTACCGACCACCGTTTTATTGATTTTTACAGAGAGAGGAAGGAAGAAGGAGAGAGAGAGAAACATTGATGTGAGAACAAGACACGGATTGGCTGCCTTCTGCATGCCCTCTACAGGGGTTTGAGCCTGCAACCCACGCATGTGCCCTGACTGGGAATCGAATCAGCAACCTTTCAGTGTACGGGATGATGCCTCACCAACTGAGCCACACTGACCAGGACCTGACTGACTTTTTTAAAATCCAGATTGAGATCTTCCTGGGTTTTGCATACTAAATGAGTTTTGATGGAAACCTGGGCATTATCATACTGTGCTATGAGACTCTGGATCTTACATTTTAGCTGGCTCCCTCTGGTACAACCTCAGAGGGGCTCAGGGGGCTGGGGCAGGCCTGGGCACTTTCCTGATAGGTTGGGGGCACAAGTCCAAGCTCCCCACATGGCCTCCACCAGCACCACAAAGTGGGAGGGCTCATTACCACCTGGTGCGGATGAGAGCTCGAGTCCCTAACTCAGCCTCCTCTGACGCCACCTGCACGTCTGGGGTAAATGAAGCAGAAAGAAAACCCGGGAGCTCACCTCACTGTGCCATTCCTTGGACCTCAAGGCCCCTGGCCAGTCTGCCTTCTTCTCTCCACTGTTCAGAATCTTCTTATGTTTGTTTTGTATGTAACTTTCCAAACGTTTTGACTGCAATGAGTGGGGAGAGTAGGGGAAAGCACATCTGGTCCATCTTCCCAGAAGCAGATGTCCTGATGTGTTACTCTTCGTGTCTACATAGGTTTTTAATGATATCAAAGTAAAGAGAGATGAGTCCCTCAAGAGTTGGTTAAAGACACATATAGCTAACACCGCAGACCAGTGCTTCCTCGCCAGGTACACAACGGCCTCATTTTAGCTGTGTTATTACGCTGATTTTATCATTCAGAGTCAATACATTAAGAAAATAAAACCATGCATTTCAGCACACACACACCCAACTTTTCCCATTGCTTTCAACAATTTCACTCAGCAAAAGCTTAGCTTTAAAAAGGATACTGAAGAGTAAAATGATAGATTCTACAGAGAGCATAAAAATGAATAAAACCCAATCTTCTCTCCAGGAGTTATAAATCAGAGATAAAACAAACAGGTAACAAAAACAGATAACAGGCAGAACACAATAGAGAACACCAGGTCATGCTGTAGCACAGTCTGGAGGAAGGAGGAATTCTTCCTCCACTACAATGACCAAGGGCTGCTTCACAAACCATGACACTGAAAGATGAGATAAAACTCAAGTTGGGCATTGCCAGGAGAGGGGATATTCCCAGGGAGAGAGAGATCAGTGAAGTGAGATCAGAAGGAAGATGGGCATATGTGATGAATTACAAATGCAGGCATACCTCAAAGATACTGCAGACTTGATATCAGACTATCGCAATAAAGTGCATGTTGCAATAAAGTGAGTCACGCTCATTTTTTTTGTTTTCCCACAAATAAAAATTATGTGTACACTATACTGCAGTCTATTTTGTGAATAATAACATTATGCCTAAAGAAAACCACAATGGGCCCTAGCCGGTTTGGCTCAGTGGATAGAGCGTCGGCCTGTGGTTCAATTCCAGTCAAGGGCACATGTCCGGGTTGCAGGCTTGATCCCCAGTAGGGGCATGCAGGAGGCAGCCAATCAATGATTCTCTCTCATCATTGATGTTTCAGTCTCTCTCTCCCTCTCCCTTCCTCTCTGAAATCAATAAACATATTAAAGGGAAAAAAACAAAGAAACAAACCTCTCTTTTTAAAAAAAGAAAACAAAACCCCAATGGACATAGCTAATTAAACTATACTTTACTGCTAAAAAATACTAACCATCTTCTGAGCCTTCAGTTGAGTTTTATCTTTTTGCTGGTACAGGGTCTTGCCTCAATGGTGATGAAAATACAATGTCTGCGAAGCACAATAAAGTAAAATGGAATAAAAGGAGGAATGCCTCTAGTGCCTTTGGCTAAGTTCTAAGGCACCTGTCGCGGCTACAGGAGAAGAGGAGGAAGGATAATCCAGGCTGGGAGGGGCTTTGAAGGGGGACATTCACGGATCCAGAGGCCCAACAGAAACACCCCTCAGCAGCATACAGAGGAGACAGGAGTCTGGGTCAGTCGGGGTAAAAAGAACACCGGAACCTGCCTAGGCCGATGGCACAGGATGGCGGGACCATGAAAGCCTGTCATCACAATGATTAGGCCAGTATTCTAAGAATAAGCAGTTGTTTAATCGTGTGTGTGTGTGTGTGTGTGTGTGTGTGTGTGTGTGTGTGAGAGAGAGAGAGAGAGAGAGAGAGAGAGAGAGAGAGAAATGTCTTTTTCGCAGAAAGGGAATTATATGAGGTCTCAATGAAGCAAGTGGGGGGTAAAGTTCAATTTGGAATCAGAGAGTTTCTATTTCCCCTGCAAACTTGAAAATAACAAAGCATGCCCTTATCTTCCAGAGAGATTAAATGTGATTCGGGCATTATTAGTTAATGAAGATGACTGACCTTATTAGTTAAATTCTCCTGAATTAACACCTCACTAGTGAGCCTTAATACCTCTTCCCACCCACAGAATTCCTGGCGCCCCCTCCAGGAGGACTCTTGGGGAACCTCCCAGCACGTGCAGTGGCTCACAGGTGGCCTTTGTCCTCAGCAATCTCTCAGTACAATGGCACTTTGTCTGCCTTGCTGAACCCAGCAGTCGATTTCCTTCCACCTATCTTAATATCCACATTCATATTCAGGCCACTGCTTTTGGTAAAAATAAAAAATAAAAAAACAACAACAGAAGAATTCTGCAAAGGAGGACTTGCACTCAAAGACACCCGTTCAAAATCTTCAGTAAAGATGTGGGCCCACCTTCAAAGACATGGACCCACCTACAAAGGCATGACCCACCTACAAAGACATGGACTCCCCTACACAGTTATGGACCCTCCTACATCACAGGCTTTGCATGTTTAGCTTCCAGATCCCAAACCTCAACTAAGATTTATTACCAAGAATTTTTGTCAGAAGCTCATGCTAGTCTTAAATTCAGGTCCTCACCCTCACCCTAGTCTAGTTCAGATCAGACACACACAGGGGAAACTTGAATGTTACTTGCGTTTAACTGAATCATGAGTTACTCAATCATTGAATGCTAAACACTGGAGAGCTTCTGTAACTACAGAAGATTTTTAGAGAAGTGCTTTCCACTTTGGATGACTTAAACCAGGGGTCAGCAAACTGCTTCTGCAAAGGACAGATAGTTTTGTCTTTCTGTGCTACATAGTCTCTGTTAAAACAATGCAGCTCCACTACTGCAACGGGAAAGCAGCCACAGACAGTCTGTAAATGCTGGGCACAGCTGTGTGTCAATAAAACTTTATTTACAATGACTGGTGAGGGGCCAGGTCATTCCTCTGACCTGAGAAAGGGAATGTAACCTATCAGATGCTCTCCTGTCACACAAACACTGACTGTCAGGCTGAGAATTGCCATATCACGGCCTCATAAGCCACTCAGCAGCTGCTCTAATCTAATAAGAGATAAGTCGGAGGCTGACCTTCAGTGTGTCGGCTTCAGCGACGACATGGCGCCCTCCAGGAAGTTCTTCGTCAGGGGAAACTGGAAGATGAATGGGCGGAAGGTGAACCTGGGGGAGCTCATCACCTGCCTGAACTCCGCCAAGGTGCCGGCCGACACGGAGGTGGTCTGTGCACCCCCCACCGCCTACATTGACTTCGCCAGGCAGAAGCTAGATCCCAAGATTGCCGTGGCTGCCCAGAACTGCTACAAAGTGATGAATGGGGCTTTCACTGGGGAGATCAGCTTAAGTCCAATGTCTCTGATGCAGTGGCTCAGTGCACCCGCATCATTTATGGAGGTGAGTGGGTTTGGCTCCAGCCTGAGGTAGGGTGGGCTGGGAACTAGACTGAGCCTTCCTTAGACATTGAGGTGGGAATGGAGTATGCCCATCCCATCCCTGACCATTCACCCTCACTCCTCCCTTCCCAGGTTCTGTGACTGGGGCAAACTGCAAGGAGCTGGCATGCCAGCCTGACGTGGATGGCTTCCTCGTGGGTGGTGCATCCCTCAAGCCTGAATTCGTGGACATCATCAACGCCAAACAATAAGCCCCAAATCCATCTCCCTGCCCTTCCTGCTATGCCAAGGACTGTGAAGCTCAGAAGCCCAGTAACTGCTCCTCCCTCTCCCCACCCCCACACATGCTTCTGAGGGTATCACCTGCCCCTTCTTGTGGCCTAATCCAAACTGCACCTCTCCTTTACCATGTACACCTATAATGGTGGGGACAACCCCTTCTCCACTTACTCTAATAATTGCAACAAAACATGTCACCAAGATGGCCTCTCCTTGACTGAGAGGTAGAAAGGTGGGGTTTGTCCCCACTGAAGGCAGGAAAGAGAAGCCGTCCTCCTCTCCCATCTCGTACTTGAGGCCACAGGCTGGGAAAGAGCCCTGTCCTCCCTGGTGCCAACGCCTGTGTGTTGTGTATGTGAGCAGTCCCACTTGGGGGTGGGAATAAACATCTGGCATTAAAAAAAAAAAAAAAAAAAGAGATAAGTCCTCCACCCCGGCTCCACATTTGCTTTAGGCTATCTACCCACTTCTGTACCAATCTCTCAAAGCTTTTTAAAATATGCAGTCCTCACAGGCCATTCCAACGGATCAATGGTCAGTAACTCTGGGGTCCCTGTCAGAGAGACTGGTCTCTAGGCTCATTCACAACACTGCCACCTTTCCAACCTCAAGCAGCATCACTTTGGAAATGGCATCTCCGCCATCCGCTAGATCTAGAACAGCTGCCTACGGGGCTGGGCTTGCAGCTTCCGTGCAGATTGGAAGAAAGATGATGGGCTTGCGGTCCTCACGTGCACAGTCTGTCTCCTCCAGCATGTTCACCTGTGCGCCACTCCATCCTTCGCAGATGTGGGCCCCTCCTAGCTAACTTCACAGGTACGGGCAATTATATTCATCCTTTTCCAGGCACCATGATTGCATAACCCAGAACACCAGCTCCTCTCCTGGGTTGTACGAAAATTGTTCAAGAGGAAGATCTTAAACCAACTACTCAGAATTTTCCCTCTCTTTGATCTCTCTACGTATCACAGAATTACTTTTCCCTCTCTTCTCCCTCTGTGACATGTTTGCTGGTGGCCCTCATTGTTCTAGTCACCCAGGGCCAAGAGACAATTGTTCATTTAGCAAACACTAACACAAAGCTTCCTCATTCCTCATTGGAAGCACTTTGTCAATATTAACTCACTGACTCCTGACAACACTCTAGGTGGGTGCTACAGTTGTTTCCCTACCTACAGGCAAGGAAAGTGAGGGGGACAGAGGTGACACAGCCGCAAAGTCACACATGTGGTCAATGGCTCTGCTCTAACCCCTGGAGCCTATGAATATACTATGTGACATGGTAAGGGGGAAATAGGGGTGCAGATAAATTAAAATTGCTAACCAGCTGACTTTAAAACAACATTACACTGGGTTGTCAGGATGAGCCTGGTGTAATCACAAGTCTTTTAAAAGTGGGATAGGGAGGGTTCGGGTACAAATAGCTGAATATTTAGCTTCAATATTCGAGACTGAGAAGGATAAGGTTAACTGTTTTGTTCTGTTTTTTAAGATCAGGGCCTCCCGGCATAAGGACCGGTGCTCAGGTTTCAAAATAAACCGGTTTTCAGCCAGACCATAGCACTGCTCACCCTGTACTGGAATCCACAGAACACCCCCTAAACCGCAGAGGGATCACACAGCCATGTGAGCGACACGGAGGTGCAAGAACACTATAATAACTTCTTTGAGGTGTTCATAGAACCCCTACTGTACTGTACTACTAAGGGCTGACAAGGAAGTAGGGAGCAGCCAACCGGTGTGGCTCAGTGGTTGAGCGTTGACCTATGAACCAGGAGGTCAAAGTTCAATTCCTGGTCAGGGCCTGTGCCTGAGTTACAGGCTTGATCCCCAGTGTGGGGCATGCAGGAGGCAGCCAATCAATGGTTCTCTCTCATCACTGATGTTTCTATCTCTCTTTCTCCCTCTCCTTTCCTCTCTGAAATCAATAAAAATATATTTAGAAAAACAAAGTAGAGAGCATGGAGTTCATCTTAGAGAATAGTTAGTTCAATCGGCATGAACAGACTACAGGTGAAAGCATGGCGAAGGGAAATGAGGAACATGTTGCTGGAAACTGAAGGAAAGGAGATATATTGTCAGGAAATAGTCTTCATGGGACAGATACTGGGGACGTAAACATAAGCCGTTATCCCCCACCCTCCAGGGGCTACAGCCTTGAGAAATGAGGGACAAACACGGAGGGTGTCAAGCCTTCCAGGTCTGGTGATGGGATCTATGAAGGCACACGGTCACTTTCTCATAGCCCTGCTGTGTTTTCTTCAAAACAACGATCAGGTGTGAAGTGATGCCACTTATTTCCTCTGTTGGCCTCTCCTCTCAAGCTTAAAGCCCATGGAACTGAGGTCCTGGCCAGCTTGTCATTGCTGTAGAACAGAGATTTTCAATCAGGGTGCTGCAAGAATTTTCAAAACATGCAACACCTGACTATTTAGTCAGGGGCACTGACCCCTTTTCCAATTTAAAAAAATGACAACAGCCAACACAACAATAGCCACCCAGGTGAATGAATCAAAATTATACCTTTTTTTTTTTTACAGATGGGCAAAAGATATATTTTTAGGTGTGCCACAGAATTTTAGTAATTAGTTTATGTGTGCCATGAGATGAAAAAAAGGCTGAAAATCGCTGCTGTGGAGCGGAGCCTGAAACAGTGCCCAGGTACACAGTAGGGGCTTAGTTTGCATTTGCTGAACAGAGGGCAACATCTTTTTAGGCTGCCCAGGTAGTAGTACGTTCTGCTGGGGCTCTGTCTCATCTCCGGCCAACCTCCCTTTGCTTGTGGGACTTAGCAAATCATATCTGGTGACCACATCCAGCTGCCAAGTAGGTAAGGGCGGAGCCACGAAGGCACAACGGAAAGAGAGTCCCCGCACCTGGACAAAGCTCCCCCTTCTAACTTCCCCTGCCCTGCAGGCTTCAGGCAGCCAGGTACATTGTTGTTGTTTTTTAAATAAATCTTTATTGTTGAAAGTATTACATATGTCCCCTTTTCCCCCATTGCCCTCTCCAACACCCCTACCCCCACAAGCCCTCACCATCCTACTGTCCGTGTCCATGGGTTATGCACATACACACATGAGTTCATTGACCTCTCCACCTTGCCCTGCATTCCCTCTGAGGTTTGACAGTCTGATCAATGTCTCCATGTCTCTGGGTCTATTTTTGTTCATTAGTTTATGTTGTTCATTAGATTCCACATATGAGATCCATGCCAAGAGTAAAACAGAAACTCTCACTCCTTACTATCACTTTTACTATTAAAAAACCTAATACCCTCCACACTCGCACACTCCCACCCCACCCACCCCATGCAACCAAGAGCAGCATTACAAAACAGTCCCTCCTCTAGCTCAGCAGTCGCCAACCTTTCGGACTTCACTGCCCACCAGTAGTGGTCTGCGAACCACCGGTTGCACTAGCTCAGCGGTTCTCAACTGTGGGTCGCGACCCCTTTGGCGGTCGAACGACCCTTTCACAAAGGTCGCCTAAGACCACCCTGCATATCAGATATTTACATTACGATTCATAACAGTAGCAACATTACAGTTATGAAGTAGCAACGAAAATAATTTTATGGTTGGGTCACCACATGAGTAACTGTATTTAAAGGGCCAGAAGGTTGAGAACCACTGCTCTAGCTCTTCTCATCTTTCTGCCTCGGTTTTGGAAATTTAAATGAACACAACTTAAAAAAACAATGTGGAGTAGAAAGAAAATATAAGAGCAAGTCAAAAGGAAGATCCCTTAAAAGTTCAACTTCTGAATTCCCAACAGGATGACTGAAAAGGTATCTATATTCATAGCCCTCCTTGCCCTCCAAGTGGCCCATAACCCCAGTCACCGGGAGCCAGGCACAGAAGTAGCTTGTGTGACTGCTGACTCTGAGCCTAAGCATGTGTACACAGGAGGTTGACAATGGGGAGAAGGGGCCTGGCCGCCCCCACAGCCCAGGGACCTGACTGAGCTCACGCTGGGGATTCCAGGAACAAGGAGGCAGCACCTTAGGCAGACAGGAAATGAGTCACTCCCCAAGGAGCCCAACAAAGTATCCTGACATCTCATTAGCTGTATTACAAACCCTCCGGTGATCGAGATTCTGGCTGCATCGTGTCCTTATCAGTAAAGAAGAAAGTGACCAGCCAAAATGACCCTGCGACGCCTCACCACAGAGGCCGGGGTGCGGGATCTGACACCTCAGGTCAGCTCCTGTTTCAGAAACACCAGGACCTGGTGGTGAAGGGCAGGTTCTCACGGTGGCCACCGCAGGGCTCTCGGTTTGGGTCCCCAGTGCCATCTCTGCATTATCCTCTGTAAACCGAGTACAGCAGAGAGGTCCACCCAGTCATCAAAAGGAACTAAAGGGCCAGCCATGTCCAAAACAAGCAGATGAGTCCTGTTGATTTGATTTGATTTGATTTGACTTCTAGAGCCTGCGATCCATGGCTACCAAAGGCTTAGTGCTAGTGTCAGCTTAGGCGTAAAGGATCTTCGAGAACCTCACTCTGTGGCCCTGAACTGGAGCAAAGAGCAGGGAAGATGCTATTTTTACAGCGTGATTGTAATAAATTAGTCAAGACATTAACTGCCATAATAACAAAAAGGACGGCAATAAAAAGGAGGAAGGAAGGAAGAGAAGTGAAATAGAGAATTAGTTAAAATCGTGTTTATTTGGCAGACGGGTGTGCCCAAGCTGGCCGTTTTAAAAGTCTAGACAGGACCTTTGGGTATTTATGTCATGTTTAAAGTGCTGACAGTTAAAAAGTCAGACCTTAAAGTTGCAGGTTTCTAAAAAGAATGTCCACGGAAAACATGCCATACTATTTAGATTCTTATTTACTTATCCTTTTTCGTGGGGAAGGACCTATATTCTATTGCAACACTATATTGCCATTGTAAACTGAACCCTTGAATCAAGATCTTCTAAGTTGTACTTTTGGAAAATCATAAGTACTACACACACTAAAAATAATTCATTACCTAGCATAAAAACGCTGCTGCAGAAAACCGCTCCAAGTTCCATAACATATGAGAGCCGAGATCAAGCAGGTGATAAAGAAACGGGAAGATGCAGATATGCTTGGGACTGAGCGAGGAGACACTTGAGTTGTGCTTCCTACTTTCCTGACTGAACCTTGCAGGAGAAGGCTCCTGCCTCAGTTTCCTCTTTTTAAAAAACAAAAAGCGGGGCGGGGGGGGGGTTACTACACTCGCCTTGCTCACCCACCAAGGTTGCTGCGGATATCAAATGAGAAATGTTTGCGATAGCACTTAAGTGAGTGGGGCCATCACCTGCAGGCTCAGGGCAGGCCCCTGGCGCTCTGCAGCCAGACACCACCCTGGGGCACACAAGGGACAGGGCTCCTCCCTGGAGCCACCGGTGCTTTCTAAGCTCGACCGCATCGTCACTAAATAC